CCAAATTTTTACAATGAGCCTTTACTTATAGTCTGGGAGGTGTGTGTGTGGGGGAGGGGGGGAGGGTTGGAGGCTATTTCCATTTTAGGGAGAATAATTTTGCATAACTATTCAAAACAAGTAACACTCTCAGCATTAAATATATGAATACTTTAGGTTTTAAATCCTCTTAACACACAAATTTTAGAAACTGAGGAGAGTTTTTGCAATATGAGGAAAGTTCATATTGGTGATAACAAGAAATGAGCTCATGAGCATCTCGTGAGTAAGCAGGCGAAGAAGACATAGGGTGTGAAAACAAACTCAGTTCTTGGTTTCATGCCACAGACAAAAACAAAATAAATCAAAGTAATTCTCTATTGCTTTCTAGAACTCTCATTTATAAGGAACTGAAATACTTAGTTTTTAACTGGAAATTCTTAAATTTAAAGAGCTACCTTCATAGATAATCTCAGGTTTTAATTCTTGCTAAAAATTCAGATCAATATATTTGGCCCTGATTTTGATATATTAAATAGAATACTCCAGATAAACTCAAAGGAGATTATGAAGTTTTTACTCCTGTGTAAACCCATTAAAAGTCTTTTTCTTACTTGATTCTGAGAATCACACCTTCAAATCTGGGTTATTCAGGTCCTCAGTGTCAGGTAAGGGCACCGGGACTTAGTACACTGGGTAATATTCTAACAGAACCTTTAGGGTTAACGAGCCCGGACATGAGGTCACCGTTGGGATGCCAGCACCTCTACCCATGAACAGAAAGGTACAGAGAGCATCAGTACAAAGGCTAACTAGCAGCATCTCTATGAAAATAGCAATCTCAGTGCTTTAGGATGTCAGAAGGTATGATCTGATTCTAAACCTGTACTTTCATAGCAGAAGTCATGATAAAGACGCCGTTTCAAATCAGGCTTCTTCCTGTGAAGCCTGTTTCCATCCCCAAACTCTGAAACCCTGCGCCTCCTTCCTAGGAACCCTCTTCAGCTAGATCTCTTCACCGTTATAAAAACAGTTAGACTTACTAACTTCATAGTTAAGCTGTGAAACCATTTGCTGCACATGGAGTTGACCAGTAAAATCGAGCCCCCTTCTAATTTGAAAGTAGGCGACATTTTTTCCTACAGCACAGGACTGGCCATTGGCCACTGAGTCCCTATCAGATTCTGTAACACCGGATTTCAGACCCTTCTGAAATTTAGGTCCTAAAATATAGTTATCATTTTCCTTAAACATATAAGAAAGCAACATCTGAATGCAATACCCAGGCTCACACTGGGCCGGCAGCTGTGGAAGCAGCCATGTGTCGGAATCAAAACAGCATCCCACTGAGCAGAGGGCTGGCGAAGCCATGGCATGTCAGTGAGGAGCCTCACATACCCGCTGTGCATTCACAAACAGCTTGTGAATGATCCTGCCGGCGTGTCCTCTTCCCGCGCCCACCACCAGCACTTCGGGCTGCTCTAAAAGGCAGCTCACAAACCTGGGGAGAAAGAATAGAGCTGCTCACTTCCCATCCGTCCTCCAGATTAATTTTGTGGGCAAACCCTCACGCTGATAAAGCTCAACTACCATGGCTGGAGTGGAACTTTGTAACAGGATATATTGATATTTGAATTAAAATCGACTCAAATGACAATTCTTACTACCTTTGAAGTGTTTTCATAAAATCTGTGAACAGCCCATCTCTGTCAAAGTGTAAGAAGAAATATTCAGTAAAAGTTGATAACAAAAACCAAGTTTCATTTATAGAACAAAGCAATGATTCATGTTTCTTGTTTTTATTCTTTTAAAAATATTAATATTTTTAATCCTCACTCAAGGATATGTTTGTTTTTTAATTGATTTGAGAGAGTGAGAGGAAGGGGAAGAGGGAAAGAAACATGGAGCAGTTGCCTCCTGTCCATGCCCCAACAGAGGATTGAACCCACAACCTAGGTATGTGCCCTGACCAGTAATCGAACCACAACCTTTTGGTGCACAGGGTGATGCTCCAATTAACCAAGCCACCCGGCCAGGGCTACTTTTGCTCTTGTGAGGTGTGTAAGTGCATGTGTGCATGCATGTACAAAATGCATGTTTTGCTGGGCAGTGTCATGACTATAAACAGTGCCATTTTGTGCTGCAAATACTGTACTATACTGCCAAGTCCATCTCAGATCTCTAGAGTAGAGCTAAGAGAGTCGAAGGCAGAACCGCCAGAAGGCACTGCCTGCTCACTGACTGGTACTGCTATTTTAGAAACGACTCACTTGATTAGAGCTCATTCTTCTCATTTAAAAGAAAGGCATTTTCCATTATGCTAAATTAATATTTGACAAAGGAGGCAAGAGCATACAAGGAGTCAGGACAGTCTCTTCAATAAATGATGTTGGGAAAACTGGACAGATATATGCAAAAAAATGAAACTAGATCACCAACTTACACAAGAATAAACTCAAAATGGATAAAAGACTTAAATGTAAGTCGAAGAAACCCTAGGCAGCAAAATCTCAGACATCTCCTGTAGTAATATGTTTATGGCTGTATCTCCTGAGCAAAGGAAACTAAGGAAGAAATAAACAAATGAGACTACATCTAATAAAAAGCTTCTGCACAGCAAAAGAAACCATCAACAAAATGAAAAGGGAGCCTATTGTATCGGAGAACATATTTGGCAAAGATACATCTGACAAAGGGTTAATATCCAAAATATATAAGGAACTCATATGACTTAACAAAATGAAGACAAACAATCCAATCAAAAAATGGGCAAAGGACCTAAACAGACACCTCTTCAAAGTGGACATACAGATGGTCAAGAGGCATATGAAAAAATGCTCAAACTCACTGATCATCAGAGAGATGCAAATTAAAGTAACAATGAGGTATCACCTCACACCTGTCAGAATGGCTACTATCAACAAATTAACAAATGACAAGCTGGTGAGGATGTGGAGAAAAGGAAACCCTACCACACTGCTGGTGGGATTGAAAAGATTTTTAAAAGATTAAATGAATATTGAGCAGAATTATAGTTGCAGAACCCCTCAGACTGTGGTTAAGGAACAGTGAGAGCTGAAAGCAAAGCTCTGGGCACTGCTAGTGACAGCGTCAATAATGGCTTCTCCTCAGGTGCAGGCACAATGCCTCCGGGAGCAAACAAGGACTTTGCTGGGAAGAGAGACCTGGTAGACTTGGTTCTGGAAGTGGGAGCAATGGAAACACCTAGAAAGTACTCAGAAATATGGTAGAGGTCAAATCCTATGATAATTATTTCTCTGAATCTGGCTAATGCTGGCAAATAATAGGAGAGTATCACAAAGAATCTCAATATTTCATTAAAATTTTCTAAAGCAGTGGTGTATTTTCCTACTGCAGACAAAAATGAGCGTGTCAAATAGCAATTACCTTTCGAGATCTTCCTTTTCCTCCTCTTGTTCACATTTCTCAGTTCCAAACTTGGCTTTCAGTGAGCGGGCTCTAGCAATTAGGGCTTCCACATTAGTAATTTGATGGATGATTTCCTAACAGTAGAAAAGAGAGTCATAACACTGGAAAACAGCAAAGAAAGGCAAAGCCTTTTAAAATGTTTCTTGAAAGTAAGTACTGCCCACTGGGAAGAGACAGTACTTGTCGAGATGCTGACAGTCACCCAACTTACTTCTAGTTTCTTGTCTTCCGCGTTGGGAAAGTGCAGGACTTTGCTGGAATGGGATATTATCTGCTTGATAATCTTCTTAACGGAAGAAATGTTTTCCAGACTTTCTATGAGAAAGATCAAAACCATCATTAAATAAGTTAGACAAAATACACTTTCATTTTAGAAATGAACTAATTACTATTCAAGTAAGACATTTACCTTCTTCCTTTACCTTGAGGACGGCTGCATGAATTACACAAGGTAGCAGGTGCCGAGCGAGGTCTGCAGGTTTCTGCATTGCCAGATAGTGCAGCACCTGGAGGAGGCACAGACTCAGATCAATGATCAATGCAGCTGCCTACGAATAAAGCAGCCATTTATGAAACAAAAAAATCCTCTAGACCAGTGATTTTCAACTTTTTTCATCTCATGGCACACATAAACTCATTACTAGAATTCTGCAGCACACCAAAAAATATATTTTTTGACAATCTGACAAAAAAAAATAGGTATAATTTTGATTCATTCAGACCAGACGGCTATTGTGTTAGCTGCTACCATTTCTTTATTTGACAATCTAAGAGAAAAGAGATCAGTGTCCCTGACCAAATGGTCAGGTGTTGCACGCTTTAAAAATTATTGCGGCACACCGGCTGCTTTGGACCACCGAACTCACATCTATAACAAAAGTAGAGAAGAGCTCTTTTCTCTTAGTATCTACCCCTACATTCCAGGTAAATAGCTACTACTTCCAAAGATAAGAATAATGTTACTGAAGACAACTGCATACTTCTGTCTTCAATAAGGGTTAATATTCTCATATCCCCCATCCCCACTTCCATATGTAATGCATACAAATTAATAAAAACTACCCGTAAATCATACCACCTAGGGATAGAATTTTTAATGGTGGAACATTTTCATTCCAGAATTTTTCAAAATATCAAGTACACATAACATTAAATGAACTAATATTAAGTGTCTAAAATACTGTTTGTGACCTATTTTTCTCACTTATTATTTCTAAACATTTCTAGTGACCCTCCATTGATTTTTTGGGGTTGGTTTTTTATTGTCTTTTTTTTTCTAAAGTGGAAATTGTTTTACTTTTCTGATTTAAAAAATACAGCATTCTTATCATGCAGATTGACTCTTCTTTCTGTGGGGGTAGAGGGCCCGGGTGACATTACCTCACTGGTGCTTGGCCAGAATTCCATACTGGCTGATTAAGATTATGTCTTTGGGAGAGGTTAAAACTGCAACAGATAAGGTATTAACCAGGTCTGATGTCACTGGCTTTTATGTAGCACAAGTGATGCCATTTTCTTCCTTTTTTAAAATTTTCTTGGATTGCAGTTTTAAACATTAGTTCTGTTTTAGTGTTTTGATTTTGAATACTCACCGGAGGACATGTTTTTATTGGGGTTTTTTTTTTTTGGAGAGAGGGGAAAGGAGAGAGAGAGAGAGAGAGAGAGAGAGAGAGAGAGAGAGAGAGGAAGGGAGGGAGAGGAAGAAAAGGAGGAGAGGGAGGGAGAGAAGAGGCAGAGGGAGAGACATTGATTGGTATGTGCTGGACCAGAAATCAAACCCACAACCTTTTGGTGTGCGGGATGATGTTCCAACCAACTGAGCCACCTAACAGGGCTAGTGTTTTGATTTTTCTCCAAGGACTCTGATAAAATGAGTATTATTCCTACTTTTCCTATTTTCCATTTCTACTACTTTCTCTCCAACCCACTTTAGTCCTTTTGCCACTTTTTCTTGACGCCTTTTATTATATTTCAATATGAATCTACTCTCTCTTGGGCCCCTTGTCATTTAGTCTTTATTTTTGATATGGTATCTTTTTCTTCTATTTCTATATTGAGTTAAACCAGCTGTGGTTTCACTACTTTGCAGAGTTTTGGGGTCCATTTTTTCTCTTGGTTTTAGTATTTCTGATTAAAAGTGATTTTTCATATCCCCCATGCTTGTTTAAAGATATCTGATTCAGTATGTATGGTGTGTTGTTAACAATTTTCTGCTTCATGGTCAATTTTCTGGGAAATGTTTTCATTAGCTAACTGACCCACCTGCATTTTGTTTTTTTATACTTTTGTATGGATGTGGTCTGCTCTTTAGTATACCTACTCATACTACAATTTGAAAGTGCCCCTTTTCTGCAGTTTCTTTAAAGGCCAGCAGAAGATGAGGGAGGTAGATGTTATTTTTTTGTTTTTTTTCTTTTATTATTTTATTGATTTGGGAGAGGAAGGATGAGGGAGAGAGGGATAGAAACATCAATGATGAAAGAGAATCACGCCCCTTACAGGGCATTGAACCCGCAACCCAGGCATGTGCCCTAACCGGGAATCAAACTGTGACCTCCTAGTTCACAGATCGACACTCTACCAAGCCACACTGGCCAGGCAGTTGATAAGCCTTGTTTGTCTTTCACTTCTGCATGATCCTTAGTTTCCCTCTCATTTCCTTCTTTCCCATCATTTCTTTATCTCTAAGGGGTATCAACCCTTCTCTATATATCTGGTTTCCCAAGACAGTATCTCTGTGTGTTCACTTCTCGTCCAGCTTACTTTAAGCCTCTCCCTGTAGCCATGCTGTGAACTATCAAGCTCTACCTGTACCAAGTACTTTGGCCCCCAGTGTTAAGCTCTCTCTTTCTGGGGTGACTCTGTGCTCCGTCTGTATCCCTCAGCTCTTCTTAAAAGTCCCTGTCCACACTCTCCTGCAGCAATAGGAACTCCATTGGAATTTGGCTTGTTTCTCTACTTATAGTTTTAATTTGAAGGTCACTGTAATCTCTGTCTCCTAGTAATGCTTAAGGCATGGATTTATTTATTACTTATTAAGTGCATGGGATTATTTGGGAGGCCAGTGGATGGTGGGTAGGAGGGTATGTGGGGCAATTTGATATCAGGCAGCTACCATTATTCATTAGAATTCCAAATATTTTTTAGTAATTGAAGAGCAGTTCACTAAATGATCATACCATAATTTATCGAACCAAGCTTATTTTTGGTAACTTTGGTTATATGCACTTTTCACTAAAAAACTTTGCTGAACATCATTCTTGTACATTGACCTTTACATATTTCTCATTATTTCCTTAATAAATTTCTTGGTGGTAGAATTGCTAGGTCAAAGGACATGACCATTTTTTTAAGGTTTTTGATATATGCTGTGAGATGAGACAGTCCAATGGTAAGCATTCTACATAAAATATGGATATCTTATTTTGGGGCCTAACTGCAACTAATTCTAAAATCTTAAGTGTAAATAGTAGACACATAAAAGGCTCATTAAATTTCAATGCTTTGCTTCTCATGTCTATGATAGTGAGTTTTTAAAATGCTAGAACAGTAACTACCACTTTAGTGTTAGATACCCAAACCTCAGTTACCTTTTCTGCTTCCCGAGTATCATCAAAGAGTCTCCTTTGCCTTCTGGCAGGAACTGGTTTAGCTGTTTCCCAGGCTTCCACCCACATGTTGCTTGGAATCTTCATTCAGGCACTCAGTTCTCCTTTCAGAACCGTGTTTCCCTTTTCATCAATCACTTCCTCTTCAATGTAATCCCGGGGTGAGTACCACCTCACAAAGTCTTCCAGACAGCAACCTGGATTAGCTGCCTAAATCAAGGCCAAAAATTCAGCAGAGACCAAATATAAGTCAACAGTTACTGATAAACCTGTTTGC